TTGTCATCGATGGATCACAAATGGATGACACAACTGAAACTGCTAGTTTTTCCATTTAGTTAGCTAAAAATTTGAAAATTTTTTGTTATCAAAAATTGAAAGGTAGCAAAAAGATTATTTTTGAGGAAGATTTCAATTGTAATTTTAAAATTAGAAATCAGATGATAAAGTAACTGAGAAATTATGACTTATTAAATAATTTTATATTCAATTAAACTTAATAATAATAATAATCATTTTCCTATACGGTAGTGGTATTTTAGCATTGAGGAATATCCTCTATTGTATTTTGAAATTATTTAGCTTTGTATTTAGCTTTTCGTGTTAATCTTAATAGTATAATTGAAAAATTAAAGGAAATGATAATCCGAAACAATTCTTGATACTAAAGTAAACAAATTTGACTTCCAAAACACGAAATGATGAAAGCAATAAACTCCAAGAAAACTGATAAATCCAACCACAAAAGCAAAAAAATATTGCAATCAACAACAAAAAAAAGAGAAAAAATAAAATGGATAACAATAAAAATAAAATTTGTTGGTAGTGAAAATGAATGAAATGATAAAATGATAAAGTCGAAAGATAACAAACTAAAACTGATCAAAGAGCTATCCGTTGTATGATACTGTCATAATCAACAAATTATATTACGGCTTTATTCTCTTAATTAATTTGTTTAAATTAAATATAATTTTAACTTATCTACCAATGGAACTATCAGCTTCGAACAGTATTCCCTTATCTGAAATTGACCAAAATAAATTTATTGCCAAGCCTAAATTGATTGGAAAATTAACACCTTCAAAAAATGCAGGTGTCATTTCAGCATGTGACATTTTATAGATGCAGCATTACCAGTAATTTCATGATTTTGTGGCGAACTGTGGACAATTTGCCGATGCCATCATCATCTAGAATGACTTCAGAATGCATTCCGTATCAGGAAAAGTAACACTTTTTTCAAAAAAATCGTCTTGGCAGTATGAAGAAATAATTGTGTGATATATATTAACAATTCGTTATCATATTTCGCGTGAAATAAATTAAATTTATGAATGAATTAAAATATTTAAGAATTGTTAGAGACAAAGTAAACGAAAAAAAAAATACTCGCTAGATTGTTCTATCTTAAATAAATTTGGAAAAATCAAAAATTCTACCAATTAATTTCGCTTTATAACATAGAAATTTCGATCTGCTTATTTAGTTGTTAATAGTTTAAATAGCGGCTTTAAAGGTTTAAATAAAATTTAACCTTTAGCACCAAAAAAAAAAAGTCCCTCTCAGTTTTATACATCTGAAGTAGATCTAAAGTTTATACATTGATGAAAACTTATAAAATTTTCAAGACAATTACTTTTTTTTTTTATTTTCATTACAATATGACGTGGCTAAAAGTATGTTCATAGTAATATTTCTAATAATACCTTTATGACAGATATATTATCGGGTCACTGGGATCAGAGATGATATTTGCCTGGTCACTCGGATCAGAGATGATATCTGCCTGGTCACTCGGATCAGAGATGATATCTGTCTGGTCACTCGGATCAGCGGTGATAGCTGCCTCAGAGATGATATCTATCAGGTCACACGAACTAATGATATTTGTACGATCATTTGAAAACAAAGTTTGGTTGAAATCGTTAACTTTACCATTTAAATTCTTGAAACAAAGAAAATAAAGCACAATTTCTATAAAAACAAAACGTTTTAAATTTATATAATTGGCTTTATGAATAATTCTATTTGTTGAAGAATTTATCAGAAGCAATTCAATTAATTCATTATTTGTTTATAAGGGAACAAACACTTTGTTTATGAAGGGCCATTAACTAATTACATTACATAATACATTGGTTTAAGTGCTTGAATTCGTTTCATTTAGAATTTAGAAAAAAATTCTAAAACAAATTAGAAAAAAAAAAAAAAAAAACAAATTGAATTAATAAAAATCTTACTTTTTGTAATCTTATTTACTGAGTAGACAGAAATAAACTGCTAGGTGGTATCAGTGATGGACTGATTTTATTTCTGAAATTGTTATTAATTGATTGCAACTGCGTGGAACATTCTTGAGAATTCTCGAATTTATCATGCAAAACATTTATGAGAATTACTTGAATTTGAATTGATAAATATTTCGTTTTTATAAATTTTGATATTACTTTTATGTTTTTATTATTAGATAAATTTATTGCATAAGTTAATAAGTCATTTCTAACATTTGTGTCTTTTTGTTTTAGTTCGAAAATAGTGTGATAAATGCTATAAGTCCATGTTAAATACTTTTCTGAAAGAATCTGATTAATATATCGTAATTGATCGCTTGATTGATTGATTGATCGATTGATCATATGATCATTTATTACAACTGGACGCTTTGATGCTATTATTCAAGAATTTCATCTTATATTTAATTACTAATTTAAATTTTGAGTTAGACGATAGAAACATCACTGATTTTTGTAAGCATCAAACAATTGCCACTTTTCTAATACAAATTCTATTTCTTTTGAAATGGATAATCAATCTGTAAAAAAAAAAAAAAAAAAAGATTATCTGATAGCACTGATATGAGGAAAATTATCACACAAAATTATCACAAGCATAAACTGAGGCCCAGTATTTCTGATTATGTCTTCACTCTTATCATATCACAATCGATTTCTTTACGGATCGAAATATGTGATATCCATCACTACTGATCGTCTCTTATTGTTGGCAATTGTGATACGCTATATCGGAATGGGAGTAGGATCAGTCTTCTTGCAGTCAATTTTAATTTTATTTAATTTCAAAACTCATTCTGTTATGAGATCCTATTATTTCAAAAAAGACATTCTTAACAAAATATAGTAATGAAAATATACTCATTTGTTTGTTTGTTTGTTTATTTGTTTTAAATTAAAAAGTCATTAATAAAAAGTCTATGGAATATAATTATAAGAAATGTGGAAGTAAGAACTCGTCTGCTTTTTATCCACGCAACAAAGTTTTATTTTCAAATTCTGATAAGTATCTAAGAAATCTGGTCAATATCATATTATTATTTAGTTTAAAATTATTATAATTTATGGCAAAAAAGTTTCTTTTGATTTAGATTATCATTTTTTCATTATCATTTTTATTTATATATAATTTTTAAAAGTTAATTTTCATAGCATAACCACTGAATCATTGATATTATGATATTAAGCTGACATTTTGCAAAGGATCAGAAAATCAATCATTTTAGGCTATTCATTAGTTAATTTCTTAAAGCTACTTTGCTCAGCTATAATAAATTAAAATATAGTTCTTGATGGTCTTTTTTTCTGGATTAATTGTTCATATATAATATGCAATGTTATTAGAAGCTGAAATATTATCAAATTCAGTTTTATATAATTTTAGCACTGCTAATATTCCAATGTAATAATGGTCAGATTAAAAGTGATTAGACCTCTAATAGCATTTACACTAATTATTGGACTATTTTTTGTGATATTTTATTTATATATGAATGATATTTATAATACTTCGATTGCTTCAGCACAATCAATTTCTAAATTTTTTGAAAAAATCAATCTTCCCGCTGGTATCATTTTACAAATATATTTATTCCAACTGTAAATATTTTGCTTCTTATCAATTTTCTACAATTCTTGAACTGATATTAAGCATGCGTTTAATTTCATCAATATAATGAGAGTAATTTTAAATAGAATGGTTTGAAGGAAAAACAAAAAAAAAAAAAAAAGAAAACAAAACAAAAATTGAAGTTGAAGTTTTTATAAGAAAGAAATAATGAAATACATATCACAGTGTCCTATTCAATTTTATCAATTATTTACTCATTCACATTCAACTTCAGTTAATTTTCATTTGACAAAAAATTTACATAAAATGAATTATTTTTTTTTTTTTTAGTAGATTTAAGTTTTGACAAGCAAAATGAATGTCACCTCGTAAAACTTGATCCCTGGGATCCTCAAATAATTCCACATTTATATCCTAATTGGAATCCATTGCAAATGTGTCGCATCAATCGTCATATGCATACCGAACTCAAAAATGGCACAATTCGAATGCTTAATGATATGTACGTTTCTACCTTATCACATACTATCAAAATATTTTTCACTTGTCAGATAGTTTGTTGTATTATCTGATTAATTAAAATCTGAAATGCATAATAAGTATTTCTATAATTTCATCTTTCTTAATATTTTCCAAACATGATAATGCGAATAGATAAGAAAGTAGCAACTTTTATTTTAATTGCAAAAATTGCTGTCTCACTTAAACAATGAATAAATTATGTGTTTATTATTGTTCTTTTCATGTCATCCCATTTAAAATAAAATTTCCATTTCAAGCATAAGTCTGTGTATTTGTCAAAATTTTAATTGACTTATTTACTCAATCATAGCTTAGAAATTCGGAATGTCAATATCGATGTCTTTATGTAAGTAGCGAATTGGATTTGAAACCGAGTAATTGGATTAAAATGAAAAAAAATGCAACATATCAGGAAAGTTGTGAATTTATCGAAACGCATTGCACAAAAAATGGGACAACAACTTTTCAGTACATTCATGATCAGGCTTGTTTAGTTTCACTTTTTGAAAAATTCATTTCAGTTCCCTTCAATTTCAACTAATGGCAATTTAATTGGAGTACTTTTATTTAAAAAAAAAAATTCTTTAAAATAAAATGAATCAACAATGGAACAGAAGCATTTGTAATGTCGAAAAAAAAAATATAAAATTAGACAGCCATTCAATTTCTAGATTTAAAAACCTTAAAAATTTCAATTTTATTCAGAACTATAAACTGTTTTTCTTTTTTTTTTCCGCTTTTTTTTGTACTTTTGTGATAAACGATAATAATTATTTGAAATTAATGGTAAATGTTTTTCTAAAATATGATGAGAACGATTGTTTTTTTCTTAGTTGGTGAGACAAAATGATAAGGTATTCCAAGAGGAGGATGAATTGCATCCAGGTGTATTTATGCTTGTGCTTGATTCTACCTCATCCTCTTCCGGAATTCGTACAGTCATGGAAACTAATCAAGTAATTCTTTTTTTTTTTTTTGAATTTCATTTATCAATTATCATCAGTTTTATTATTTATTATCATATAACATTTAAAAATTTATTTATCAGCAACTGATTATTGAACTTATTTATCAGCAGTTACAGATACACTTCTTTGTTCAGTTCATTTATACAAAATATATTTAAATGCTAACATTGAGAGGTATTTCTGAACTTTCTGAACTTTCGATTAGCATTTCGGTTAAGCAAATTGTACAATATCCATTACTAATGATAGCAGTAACGAAGTTACAAAAAGTTTTTTAAAAATTTTGTCTGGAAGGGCACAGTAAGTCGATGAAGTTTGAAATTAAAGGAAAGTAAACTTTGAAATTATTTATTGAAATTCGTTTGAAATTCGTGTAAAAGGCCATAATTCTGAGGTTCTTCGTCAATTTTACGATGCGACAACATTTTATTATCATAACAAAGTTGGCCTTAACAGTCGACCAAATGCTTTTGCTATATTTTCAGGTCTTTTTTTCTTTTTGTTTTGAAAGAGATTTGAAGAATTTGCAAATATTATTCAATTTAATTTCTTTGTTTTTCATTTTTTAATTCAGCTTTTTATTTTTTAACTTCTTCCTTAGTCTATTTTCATCCTTCAACTTGTTTTATTTATTACTTAATTTATCTTTTATTTAATTTTCAAATTTTATTCATTTGAATTTTAATTTCGCAAAGTTTTTGTTCCATCTACTCGACTGTTTGATATTTATTAACTGAACTTTAATTATTTTCGTATTATTTGGCTCAATGATTTTCATTCTCGTAATTTCTAAGCCTTATAATTTAACTCTTTCATTTTTTTTTTAGTCTATTGGTGAATGTGAAATTAGAGTTTTAGAATATATTAAATTGCTATATTTTTATTCCTTTCAAAAATAAAATTTTAACTTTCTCACTATTCTAGGAACTCGTATATCTCAGTTGGATGAGCGCCACTTTCCCGGTAAAAGTGATTCCGAGTATTTAAATTCGTGTAAAGTAAGTTGCTTAATCGTTTGACAAACTTCGCATCAACAGGACAAATCGAAATATTTAGATGGATGACAAAGTTTAACTTTTTGCATTCTTTATGTCTCTCCTTCTCTTCTTTTACTGATTGCAAAGATAAAAGTGCAAATGCATTAAAATTGTAATTCATTTCATTCATATCAATGTTTTTCATTATTTTAATCACAGCACTTACTGTACTAATTTTTGATCATTGATAAGCAAAATAAATAAACTATTTTTAATTTTTTAAAATTTTTTCGATCACTAAAACTTTCATCTCGTTCTGTCACATCTTAAATAACTGATTAAATTAAAATAAACGAATTTAACAATTTATTGTATTTCAGGATGGTGTGAAAAAAAATGAAACTGTAACTTATGATTTCATCAATCAAAGTTATGCATCAATATTAGCGGAAGATTGGATTGGTGCATTTAATTGGCCAAATTGTAAAGGTTATGACTATCCGCCAACCGATCATTTTTGCAAGTAATTAAATTGAAATTATCGTTGTCAAAGTATCTAAAAAATTGTGAAGTTAGTAAATTTTAAGTCAAATTAAAAGATCTTTTATTTTTATTCTCGACTTTAAAAATTTTCATATTTTTACTATCATATCATTGATATAAAGAATAACATACTGAATAAAAGATGAATGAATGATTAATTACCAAATAATATAAAATTTGTCAGAAAAATGATCATTTGAAAATATAATTTGTTGTTGATATGAAGTGCTATGGTATTGCGATCTACCGTAAAGCAACCGAACAAAGAAGAGAAAGATTTCGAGAAATATTTTTATAAAGCAGATTGCCAAGAACCTTATCACAAGGTGATGAATTATGCTAGCAAATTCCTAGACGAATATAATGGAATCTCAAAATTTGTTGTGATATGGCTATCATTGATGACACATGATTCGGCTAGCGGATTGTATCGTACTGATAAGGTTCGTCTTTTATCATCACATATCAGATCCTTTGTTGTTCCATTTTTTTGCTAATGATACTGTGATTAGCAGTGATAAAGAAAGTAAAACTTATTGATATAATACTTTTGTCAACTAAAATTTCTTCTATTATTTATAATTTACAGTATTTCGCTAATTTTTTTCGTAAGCATGTCAACAACTTGAATAACTCATTCGTATTTCTAATGGGTGATCACGGATTACGATTTGGTGATATTCGATCAACTCGTCCTGGTCAGATGGAAGATAATAATCCATTGTTTATGGCAAGATTTCATATTTATAACAAGAAATAAGCAGTTGAACGAGGATAAATGATGAAGGATGTTTGGAGTTCAGAATTTTAATTCCTAAAAAAATTTTAATTTTATTGATAAATCGTAGATTTTATTATTACATAATCTAAGATTTATCAGAGTAAATTTCTAGACTAAGTAAATTCAGCATTTTTCTAATAAATTAAAACTTTGTCAACTTTATCATAATTTCCTTTCCTTTCAGGTAGCATTACCAAAATATTTACGCTCAAATGAACAGCTTATTTTAAATTTAAAACAAAATTCTCGAAGGCATACATCTCAGTTTGACTTCTATGCAACATTATATGATATAGCTCGGTATGCAAGGAAAGATAATTTCCAGAAATGGGATGAACACGATTTCAGGTTTTGCTTCTTTTTTTTTCTTACCATTAACTCTTTTTACATTTATTATCAAAAGAAAGTAAAAATAAACATTGCTATTGGCTTTGTCTAAATTTATTGTTTCATTTAAAATTTTGCGGAAAAAAAAATTCTAAAAACTTATTTTACTTTTATAAAAATTGTTGTTATATATATTTTTTTTAACTTTACCACAATGTTATGTTTTGTGCATACAGTGGATCTCAGTGGTTCACAAAGAAAAAGTTTTTATAATTTTTGAAAATTTCGGAAATGAAAATGCTTTGTTGCATAAATGTTTGTAATATTTATTTTACTTATAGAAATGAATTTGGTGACATAAGAGGTGGCATTCGTGCAAAGAGCATTCTAAGGCCTATTTTATATGACAGGTGAAAAAATCTGCAACTATTTTGATGTGACATATTTTGTCCTTTGATTTCTTTTTTTGGAAAGACAAAAGGAAGAATATAAAATTATGGAAGATCACTTTAAAATTAGGATATATTTTTATGACTATAATTTTATGACTTAATTTTATGGCTAAGAAAAATAAAATTTGTTCAGCTTTTTCGAATTTCAATAGGACAATAATTTGAAGTTGTTAAATTTACTATATGACTTCTAGGACATGTGAAGAAATGGAAATTCCGGATGAATACTGCATTTGTGAACAAATTTGGCATAAGACTGATATACACAGTGATAATGTGACAAATGCCGCTCAGTTTCTCATTAATGATATCAACGATTTCTTAAAACAGAAAAATCTCACCGAAATCTGCGAAAGGCTTGATTTCATAGAAGTGATAGTTTCAATTTACACAAATTTTTAATAAGCAAAATCGATAGGTAATGAAGGAGAAGCCCATAAATAGTAGCATAACTGTAAAATATATTATGACAGAAGAGCTAATCTGGTAAACAAGCTTATTGAAAGGAATCTTTCAACAAAGTTTCCTTTAAATTGCAATACAATAGCATTTCACGTGACAAGGTGATACAAACAATGTGATAAGCAATGTTCAGTAATGATAAAGTCATATAAGAATATGATATCACAAATTACGTCCAGGTAAGCATTATAAAGTTTTGAATAGTCCTAGAAATAAGAAGAAATTTTTGTCTCATTTTGCTTTTTTTTTTTTTTATCTCAGTTAATTCTTTTTAAGGTAATTTCGGCAAATCAACTTGAAAATAAATCAGTTTTAAAGATAGTCGTAAGTGCTTCACCGAGTTATGGAAAATATGAAGCGCAATTGTTAAAGGAGAAAGATAACTTTATAATAATCACAAAAGTAACATTCTTTGTGTCATTATTGTTTTTTGTCTTACTGTTGCATTATACTTACTGTTTGTTCAACAGTATCAGTTTTTTTTTTTTCTGTTTTCTATTTTTCATTTTCTTTTCTAATTCAGATTTTATTTGTTTATGTAATTATTACATGCACCATCCATAATCATCATGTTTTGATGTTTGGGCGATATTAATTCATTATATTTTAATGATTTCTCGATGTAAATTTCAAATTCACTCATTTAGATAACTCGATTGGATAAGTACGGTGAACAAGGATACTGTGCACCTGCTGAAGACGTTCGACCATTGTGTTACTGTCGCCAACAGTTGACAACATCTACGACGCGCTGACAACAGTTGCGACGCATCAACAGCACGATTCACTGACAACAACTGTGACACTATCTTGTTTAAATTTTGTCGTGAAAGGTTTGTCTTCAGATACTCGAATATTTGTGATACAGCAGTGAGATTAATAAATATTTTTATTTAACAGTGAGATTAATAAATCTTTATTTTTATTTGATTTACTATCAGTAACCTGAACAGAAGAAATGGACTTTATAAAATCGGAGGAAATTCAGATTGGTTATGAGGGCTTATAGTCGACAATAAAGACAATAATGAATGTTTTGTTTATTAGAATTGAATTTATATGAGTGAGAATTGGGCGTGTCTGAGATAAAAATTACATGTGTGAAGAATCTTAAGAAACTAGATTTAAGGAGAGATAATTCATGATACCGTAGGATTGTTTACAATTTAAAAGTGATTAATTAGTTTTGTTAGTCTTTAGTAATATTAATCTTATTGTTTTGGTATAATTCGCGATACGGAGAGAAATGATAGCGCAGAAAGAATCCTACCTCATCAGTACCGCCAGACAAAAGAAACATTTCATTAATTTGACTTGCTTATCTCACATTAGCTTTTCCGGCCGACGCAGAAAACGTCGATAGTGCCTTGTCAGATTTCAATTTGAGAAGGTAAACAGACTATAAGTGAATAAAATGAGAAAACGATAACAAGAACTGATGCAATACTGAAATAAGAAGTACAACTAACTGGTTATAGGTCTTTAATTAATTAATTAATAGTACACAAAACACAAGAATTTACTATTCATTTTACATATCATTTAATGCTTCAAGTAACTCATCCGTTTTTATATTTTAACAAATGCTTATCACTTCATAACAATGTTTCTGTAATACAACTGTAAATAAAAAGATAAAACGATTTATCAACATATATATATTTACCATAGCTACTTAATTCGACAAATATATATTTAAATCTATTAGTGAAACAATTAATCAAATAATATCAATCATTTTCCTCTCAATCGCATTTTCTTAACCGAATTTTCGAAATCCAACTATTGCATATGTGGGGCCAGCAAGAAAACGAAATTCTTTTCCAATTTGATAATTTAATCCAACTATCGATGATGAATCATTAAGTAAACGTAACGTACTTAGCGGAATGTGTGGAAATATTTCACTGTAAAAAAGAAATGTTATTAATGGAAGATTATGAAAAATTGATTGGACGTGTTAAAATACGAAAACCCAATAACAGAAGTTATGTATGTCATTTGACGAGTTTATGACTTTCGTCAATTTTCAAATGCATAAGAAACTTAAATTCAACTAGCGTAGTGACATATGTGATGCAATCATGATTTTAATATACTTATGAATATTATAATACTGAAACGTATACCATTAATCAATCACATGGCTCTATTAGTTACCTAACAGAATTACCCTACCCGTATTTTATCTACATAAATATTTTAAATATTCTCATTCTAAATATCTTACCTGAATATTTCTTCACTATTTTCAGGCTCATTGCCATTGACCATCGTAAAATGAAATGCAATTGTTTGATAGTTATCAAGGAAGAAAAATTCCTCCTACAGAAAAAGAATAATTTTACACAATTAGCAAACTTTAAAATATTTTCAAAAAATATCAACGGAACATAAAAGTAAGATAAAAAAATACGATAAGAAATAAAAAAAAAAAAAAAAAAAAAGAAAATCTAAACTAAAAGTTTAAAGACTTAACAAGTTTATTTAGACAATAAGAAAACAACTTTATAACTTTAATAATAAAGAATAAACTAAAGCTAATGAAAAAAATCAGTCAAAGTGAATATATATGTAAAACCTTCCAGTCTTCAAACTTTGCTTTCAATATTTTGTCATCTTTAGTATCTACGAGAAGAGTCGATGCACTTATATCCAAACCGTAAAATACTATCACTGAACTATCTCGATACCATCCAAGACTCTCTCTACTGAAATATTTTTTGCTACAATGATAAAATTATTCGTTGTTTATTTGCAATTATTATAGCATTTGTTTTATTTCTGAGATCCTCAAGAAAATTATTCGTGTATAATAATTGATATCAATCAGCTGAAATTAAAAAAAAAAAAATAATTTTGCTAAACATTTCGTGGTTAAAGTCACATATTCCTTCACATTATATTCCAAAGATTAACCAAGAAATTCATAAAGTCTAACTTACACATTTTCTCGAGTATCCGATTGAGCAACAACACAAATTGGTGCATTACCCAAATCTTCTCTGATCATTTCGGTTGCATTTAATGCTCGACTTATAGCATTTTCTCTAGTACGTTCATCATCACTACAAATTAAAATGATCAACTTCACTTCATCCTGAAATTCATAATTATCATTTCGCCAAAATGTTCATCAATTTTAATTTGTTAATGGCAGTACTTTAATGGCAGTACTCATGTCTTCTGACCCAATTAGATTCTCACAAACTTACTTCGTCACTTTTCAATGATTGATAAGAATTGTATGAATCGTCACTACTGAAAATTTTGATTAAATATTAATGATAAATATGGTATAAAAATTTAATTTAAATAAAAAATGTCATTTCATATTCAAAATGTTTTGCGTTGATTTTTTAAAGTGCAATGAATTACATTAAATACTTTAAATTAATTTTATTACTATCTCTTCAATTTTCTTTTTATTCGTATATTAAACACAAATTACAGTCCCATTGCCATTCAACTAATCATTTAACAATATATTTGCTATAAAAAAAAAAAAAAAAAACAAATTTAAACAATTCAAAATCTAGATATTTCTAATTATTATAATAAATAACAAATAAACTTCAACATTGAATAGTTTTAACTTTAAATTTCAAATTTACATTTTATGTTGGTGAAGAAAAGTTACGAAAATAACTAACCGAATTTTCATTACGCTTACATATTTTAAATTGATATCCAAAGATGATGGCATCCATGGAATAATCACTCCATTCATTGGACTTCCTTTAATTTCATCGGGAACAAATGAACCATTATTACCTAAAATTGCAAATCACAATTATTTCACTTATTGAATTTTAATTTTTTTATCATTTCTTAGCTATTAGTTGTAATAAAAATTCTATATAAAAATCCATTAAAAATTTCCTAACCCATTACAACTTTCCTAAATATTTTTAGATGATCTTTTTGTGGTGTAATCACAAGTATATAACAAAATGCCGCAATGCCAGTTATATTAATCGGTTTTTCGCTGTTAAATAAAATAGCATGATTTGGTGACCAAAGATAATCGATAGCACTACATCTATACTGAAATTATATTATTAAATCTTTTAGTATATAAACTTTTTTTTTTTTTTTTTTTTTGATTGCTAGCAATTTTATCTTATTTCATTCTTTTTCAATTATACTATTAGGAAATTTAAGAAGAATTATCCTCCAATAGTTTATAAAATTATTTTTTTTTTTGAACTTATTTGATGATGAATTTTCTTATTAAATGAAGGAAAACTTTTCAAACTTTTTTGAATTACATCTTTTAATCGATTGTTATCATAATTATACTCAAACTTAATAGCAATAGCAATAATAAATTGAACATACTGCATCATCAGTGCAATTTATTTCAGATATTCGTTTAAATGCTTCTACTAAATATGACGGAGTTATTTTGCTATCTCGGTAATGCAGCATTTTAGATCGACGGTTTAGCACAAAGTTCGCAGCTTCACACATCACAGGGAGATTTCTACAAAATGATACATCAATTTTATTTTTTATTATAATTTATTTTATTTACTGCTATGTTTGCAATAATATAATAATACATAAGCAAAGCTAACGCCATATTTTCTAAATCATCATTAGCTAAGTGTTGAGCAATAGCTTCTCCCACTGGTGTACATACAAAAACTTTCTCTAATAGTTTGTTGACATATTGAATTTCAGTTTCATTATATGTTTTATCATCCACTCCTTCTGAAATTTCAATTTAATTTTTTTCATTTAGCTTCTTTGTTTTTTCAAGTACTTAAACAACAAATGCAACACTCATTTTTTAAAAATATGAATAGTGTATCACAACAATTTGATGTCATTTCGAGTTATTTTACTTGGAGCAAAATTAAAAAAAAAAAAAAAAAAAATTAAAGGTGTTTACCTGTTGTGGAAATGATGTCTGTTGGAATTGCATGGCTTGTAACAAATGTAAGCACAATAAATTTTAAAATCATTGTTATCTGAAACTATGAATTTAAAAATATTCAATAATGATATGTCGAAAGATTCTATAAGACATCATCAATTTGATTTACTATTATAAATGAATTTTAATCTCATAGAAGTTTGAACATATTCATTATGCACTAATTTTTTTATATAGCCAATTTATTGTACTCCTTTAACAAATGATTCGTATATATGAAATTTAAACCTAAATTTAATGTTATTCAGTGAAGCACTCAAAATCAATGCTACAATTCCTTTTTGTTTTAAAATTTAAAATTAAATTTAAAATTTAAAGAATTTAAGAATTTATTTATGGCAGTAGACGAGTTAACTATAAATTCTAAAAATGATTGATGATATATGTGAAATCTAAATCTAATTTTAGGTGAAACAAAACCGAATACAAAAAAAAAATCAAATACAATTTCAAACAATGATAAAAAAATTATTCTCAGTCATCTTTTATGCATTGAATAGTGGCATACACTATGGAATATTTCTGATAATTTATTAGGCAAAATCAGAAATCAACTTTTCATTGATATTAGAATTAACTAAAACCTCTAAAAGTCTTTCATTGAATTGAATAAATTTGCATTTCTGTCAAAACTTTCAAAAACTGAAATGAATGGTCAAAAATCAAAAATTTTTGATCAAAGAAAATATGATATCCATTTTATCAATTCAATTTTTTTTTTCTGGACTCATTTAAAAATAGCAGGATTATTTTTGCCAAATTTCAATAATTTCAATACGGCCATTTTCAATAACTTCCAGCTAAGCCCATTTTTAATGGAAGTTAAACCCACTAATTCAAAAAAAAAAAAAAAAAAAAGCAAAAAGTCATTACTGTGACGATACTGTGAATGATATAAATGAATAATTTATCATTGTAATAATTTGTGATAGAGAATAGATTGACAATGAATTGTGAACGAAAGACAAAAATCTTAGATCAAATTTGTTACAAAACGTAAGAAAATTTCAAACAAAGTCTAAAAATGGTTTATTTGACAGAGAATTAGTAATAAATTCGATTGCACCTATATAATTATGATATTATATATAATTACGATAAATAACATATTCATTTTAAGCAATTTATAATTATGTTAGCATTGCGAGGTTTTTTTTTTTTTTTTTTTTTTTTAATATTTCATTTAATAAACTTTAAATTAATTATATAAAAAAATTTTGATGAGGAAAATTTTTTTTCCAAAAAATTCCAGTACATTTATTTATTGTTATTAAAATGCTCCTTTTTTTTTTAAAAAATTTGCAATATTAATTTCTGTTTAGCTTATCAAAACTAAAATTACTATTTTAGGAAAAATATTATGTAATTGAATTCCAATTTAGGAATTTCTTTTTCTGCATCTTATTGCACTTATTGATATTTGAGAAATTTTAAATAGCAAATAAAATCGTTAATTTTTATTGCGTTCAAATCCTCTGTTTTCAGTTCAGTTATGCATGAGTTTATCTTCAATGAGTGCTGCGGGAAATTTTCAAGGTTACTTAATGGTTTATTTACAATTAGCTAACAATACAATCATTTAGGTCGCTCGAAATAATGCGCAGATATTCAAAATGACAAACAGATAATATATTAAATAGCAATGGACATTTGCGCATCACAATTTAGTAAAATTGAACATTTTCTGCAGTAATTGCAAAGTAGCCAATCACATTTTGCTCATTTTTTAATTGGTCAAAAATACAAATTGGTCCGATTTAAATCTATGATATAAATGTCAGTTTTGTGCAATAATTAATTTTGTTTATTTTTTTATGCTATGTTTGTTTCTGATGAAATTTAGGAGAATTTCATTAGGAAAAGATTTATTACAGCTATTTCACTAACATTTATCTGTTAAAAATCTGTTTAACATCTCCAACTTCATTTTATAAACAAATCACTATTTTAACAGAAGTATATTTGATATCTATGGATTTTAAAAGAAAGAAAGAAAGCAAATAGTCAATTAAACATCTGAAAACTTAAATGAATTTATGTTATAAGGAAATCAGATTCGCATTATTAAAAAAATTCCTAAAATTTTGGAATTAAACAAAGAAGAAAGTTTTTTCGACTATATTTGTTAGCATTTTTCCTTTTTTTTTTTTTTTTTTCTGCCTGCAAAAATGACGCTATTATTTTTAAAATTAATTTCAGTTTGCTCTGCTAAAAGTTTTCAGTTTTCAGCTCTTTTTTTGTGTAAATCATTTCATCAAATATATTTAGGATGGCATCATTAAATATATTTCATACATTAACTGACAATAACAAACTTTTCAAAAAAAAAAAAAAAAAAAAAAATGCAGTGATATGTACAAAAGTATGCGATTCAATAAAAAATACAACAATTTTAGGAAATTTTAGGAGAGAAAAAAAAAAAAAAATTACTTGAAAATTCTAAATTTATAACCGCTCAAAAATTTTATTGGAATGACAAAATTTTTGATAATTGAAGCCAAATGTTTATTATTTCATTTTCAAGATTTGTTTCTTGTGAAAAAAAAAAAAATTATACATACAATATGTTTTCTTTATTATCGCTCCTAATTAACATAGCAAAATTAATTAATATATCAATAATTAAATGTAGAAAAAAAAGTTAATTTGAGCAGATTCATTCTATTAGCTCAATTATCATCATAGAACTATCTAACAATATATTGAAAAAAAAAAAAAAAAAAATCCACACAATTTTACACAGTACAAAATATTTGATACAAATTTTATTATTTTTTTTAAAAATTAGTTTAAATATTTCAAAAAGAGAATAAATTAATATCATTGTAGCATAATGCAATAAAAAACTAAGCTTTTAAAAAACCATATGAATATATCATCGATAGCATATGATTAGAAGTATTTAATTTTCATATTTTTTATCTACCAATTCATTTCATTTAATAATAATACTGAATACTTAAATTTGAAAAAGAAAAAAAAAAAATTCGCATTAAAAGATTTCATCGGTACATTTTCATTTAATATTGTTGAATAAATTTGGTATTTAATTAGTAACAATTTGTCTCAGAACAATAAATATTCAAATTACTATTTCACTATTTTGTTGTATTTGACTGAATCATTTTACTGGACCTTCTTTTTTTTTATTTTTTCTCTTTTTCTTGTTTTTTGATTACTTAACTGTCGTAATCTCGAATGTTGTTGCCACCATTTTTGAATAATTAAAGCGGCCAAATTCCGTAACTGATATGGAAACAGTCCACCATTACGTAATAAATAATTCACAATCTGAAGAAAAAAAAAAAAAAATTATTTCATTCAAATATATTATTCATATATGCTCACAATATTCATCATCACAAAACTATGCATATGTTTTCATTTTTTTTTTTTAAATCGATGAAAAAACAGATTTTTTTCAAAATTAAATAAAAAATTTGAACTAAGTCTTAAAGTACCATAGATTTTAGTACTATTTAAATTTTAATGCTATTCAAATTAAGTTGGTAAATTTGAAGCCATAGTTTATTTTTTTGTTATCATTGTCTCAAGAAATGTTTAAATATGCTAGATTATTACTGATTTCTCCTAATCAGAATTACTGTTGATCATCAATTCCTAGCAATCTTTGATCAATCATTGCTGATTCCTGGTAATTCTTGATCATTTACTAGTATTTTTTGATAATTTCTTGTCATTTCTTCATGATTTTTTAATGATATTTGATTAAAATTATAAAATCCCAAATTATCAGAAAGCTTCTCCCTCATGAAGCAAATTTAAAACTGTCAATTTAGAAAAGAATTATTCCTATCCAATCTTTTCCTCTCCATTCTGCTGTTTAACTAGAAAAGAAAAAAGTGGAAGGAATTCAAAAATTTACTCATCCTAAATTGCAATGCTATCCTTTCTATTTTTTTTATTTAATCACTAAATTCCTCAATAATTCATATAATCCATTAATCTTATTCAATGAATTAGCTATTCTTTATAATTTCAAATTTCAGCTGTTCCTGCAATACGCAACTATTAACTGTTTCTTGTATCTTCCAAATTTCATCTTATCGATACTTATTAAATTATATTTCATATCTCCTACCTGTTGATGACCATTGGCCTGTGCACAACTTAACGGTGTACAATCGTCGATCCGTGCAAATGCATTTACAGCTGCTCCACATTTCAGTAAATATTTCACACAATCATATTTACCTCTTTCACAAGCTATATGAATTGGCGTAAATTGATCGAAATCTTCCTTATGAATGAGACAATCCTAAAAAATATAAATTTTACTGCTATTATTATTATTATTGTTGCTGTCACTCTTATTATTATTGTTGTTGTTGTCAACAAAAATTCTTATCTGAATTATTTGTGTATACTGTATACTGAATATAACTGTTGATTTTTTTTTTAATAAGGAAAACAACAATAAAATAAAGGGAAGAAGAAACTTTAATTAGTTTAAATGAATTATTTTACGATTAGTATTCAGTTTACTTATTAATTAATTAATTATTTTATTTTTTTTTTGAAAAAACATAAATTAAAATATACAATTACTAATATTTTTGATTCATTAAAATGATTAATTTTATAGTCTTTCAAATTACCTTCCATATTAGTCTCATATGTTGAATCATTTTAAATTTTAAATAATAAAGTATAAAACAAACAGCTTTCATGATAAGTACTTCAATGCATGCAATATAACCACCAAATGCAGCACAATGAAGCGCAGTTCGTCCAAGCTTATCCGTATGCATTATTTTGCAATTCAATTCTGTCACCATAACGCTTAATGTATGCGCTTGTCCTCCCAAGCATGCATAAAATATCGGAGTTCTAAATTATTATAAAACAAAAATAAATTATGCTCAAATAGCAATTCATTTCAAATAATCCTTTAATTTTCAGAATCGCAACAAAGTTTTCTTTTTTCTTCAAAAAAATCAAAATGTAGTGTGAAGAATCGAATTTGAAAGTTCTAGAATTAATGGAATACAGCACAAATATTAGCAA